TCCCCAATAGGCCCCATACCTTTTCTTCTATTTTTCCTCCTACCTCTATCTGTATTTGTTGTCAGTATAATTTGATGAATGTCTCTAACATCATGCCATCAATGAATCCTTTCCTAGTTTCTCTCTACTTATCAACCTTTTAGACATAGACTACAGTCCATAAAATATAAGATCACATTTTGAAATGTGATCTTATATTTTGAATATTCAATGAAAACATTGAATATTCATTTAACGGAGTCAGTAGAAATAGCTATAAATTATTTTGGAATGCTGTATTTTATGAAGTATGAAGTTTTTCATTTGAGAATTTAAAATGTATATTTTACTCTGTGTGAAGGTTAAGGATATATGACAGAATCTGAATTCATTCTGTATTGTTTCAAAAGAAGAAGTATGTTAATTAAAATGATTGTCTAAATTTGGAGTGAGGACGATAGGATGGATTTGGTGGGAGTAGTGGTGGTCCTTAAAAGAAAAGGAAGAAAAGGCTAAGTCTCTGGCAATATGTGCTCTAATTCTCAATGGAGGCTAAGATGACTGAGCTATATTCCCAGCTCTACCAGGTAGGTGGGGCCATGGGCGGTCCTGTACAGATGCCACTTTCAGACTGCATCTGGGATGATCTCCCCTGTGGGCCAGGGATGGAGGGAGGATGTCATTGAGGCTTCTGTGAAGTGGCAAATCTCAGGAGACAAAAATGAAAGGAGGACATGTTTGGATCCTTTGCCTCATTGTGTCCAGGTGTTCTGGTTTCTCACAGCACATTCATTAAAGAGCTTCTCTTATTCTCAGATTCACTGCAACTGGAGGGCTCTGGGGGAACATTACCTTCAGAAAATTCCTGAGAGAGCTGGACCTTATCCCAGGGGGACTATCCTTTTGGTTTTAAAGACTCTTTTGAAGTGAGAAATTACCTTGAAATACTTTCTCTGCCTTTTTATTTCAGATTATAAACCTTGGATAGAGATGAGAGGGAAAATCTGCTGTGTTCCTGAAAGTTACCATTTAACTCCTGATTTCCAAAAAGAGAAGATGGAATGTCCATGGCGTGTCTGACCCAGTGGGTTCAGCATTGTAAATATCATGATTTTACTTTCCCCTGGTGTTAAACCTAAAAGGATTGACTGGAAGGGAGTAATGTCATCACCTGAAGAAGTATATAAAGTCTATTTCCTATGATGAGAGGAAGAGAAGCTTCACAAGGATTGCTTATACATAGCTACTCTAGGCATGAATATTAGCAGTAGTAATTGGGAAAGAATTTCTCTTTTTGCCTTTAAGAAGCATATTAATACTTTTGACCATGATGCCTTTTCATGCTTTGCCACTCTAGTCATACCAATTTTTGAAATGGGCTTCAAATTACACACTACTTTATTTCAAAATGATGGAAGGTGAATTAGGTCTCTTGTGAACAATGTCTGTTAGCAATGATGGAATTTTTAAGCTATGAAATAGACCTCCAGTGACAGTAAAATAAAGATTTAAGAACCCCTCTATACTTGTGGGGCCTCTATATCTGAAGCCTGTAATACACTGTAACAGCCAGTGCCTATAAGTATGTTGATTGGTCCCCAAAATGATTATTATGTCTTATAGTAGAAAGAGCATTAGATCTAAAGTCAATGCCAGAGCTTTTCTTAGGCTTCACCTATTTATTATTTTATTACCTGCACAACACTTCAGAACAGGTTTTTTATCTTTCAAATGAAATTCACACCATCTAATTCATTCTGATGTTCTGTGTTTAATAATCTGTATTGACTACACTCATATTCAAAAGTTATTTAGAGTGAGCAAGGTTTAAGCACTATTCTCTAAGAAAAAAAAATCAAACAGCCCTGTTTAAAAAAAAAAACGAAATAAAATCAGTGTTATCCATCAATGATACCAAAAGAATGTCCAAATAGAAAGAGTTAATGGCCTGATATGCAAATCCCAAACAATTTTCTCTTGATATTATTCTCCCCTTTACTGTTACATAGTCTAGATAATGGCCTTAAGGAAATCCTGTTCACAATTCTCACATGCAGATAATCCAATATGTTTACAACTATCCATGGCATAAGTGAGACCAGTCTGGAAACTTTAGCTCAATTTTTACTCATTTAACAGGATTATAAATTGAAAGAATAAGGAGAATGTCCAAAAATAGAAAATATTTTATGAGATGTAGCTTCCTTTTCAAACTCACAGAGCTAGTTTCATTATTACTTTTCTGTGCTTTTATATTTATCACCATTCAAGAATCCATCCCCAAATATCACCTCCCTTGAAATCCCAAACCAGATTCTTGACAGTACGCTTTGGATATATAGAATCAACCATACTTCCATACTTGCAATGTGGACGTTTTCATTATGAGAGCCTATTAAACCCTTGCTTTAATCAATCATGTTGAAGTTATGTTTCTCTCATTTATACATAAGTTAGATTTAATATATATATATCCTTTTTATATAACATCATCTTTATATCTTCAGAAGAGCTTGACACCAGCTATATCTATTGAATAATTGCCTCAGTTATTAATCATACTACTATTTCACACATTTGTAACTTGAAATACATACTTTTATGACATAGGATTTATAGGAGAAACAAAACCTTTTTCTTAGTTCATTGCTCCATTCACTGAAAACATGTTTCCAAATTAAGGGCTGAACATAAAATTAAATGACTTGTCATTTATTTATTAGTCATAAGTTCATCACAAAATTGACTTCCATAATTTAAAAAAGTTCAAATCAAAAAGAAAACATATCATCTAAGTGCTTATTATTAAGTGTTGAATTATATTTTACATTTGCAGAATATCCAATATAAGGATTAAAATTGAATTCATGTAACAAAAAGGTACATAAAAATGTGAAACGATTGTTAAGAAATATAATCATACCATAAACTTCTAGCATGAAAACCAAATATATGTGGTTTTATTTTAAAAAATTAAAATTAGGCATTTACTATTCAACCATATGTGAATCTTTTGGTAAACTGAAACAAATATCTAATTGTATACCTGAACTTAACAGGCAAAAAATTATACATTTAAAAAGTTATCAGTGGATGGCCAAGAGCCAGGTGCATACTTGTAATTCCAGTGGCACCCAAGGCTGAGGCAGTTTAAAGCCAGCATCAGCAAATTAGCCAGGCCTTAAGCAACTCAGCATGATCTTGTCTTTAAACAAAATATTTTCGAAAGGCTAAGGATGGGGGCTTAGTGGACAAGCCTGCTTGGATTAAATCCCTAGTACAAAATAAAAGTAGTTATCAGTAAATGTACTAACTATATTTTCTGCTATACCTGTGTTACTTTGATTTATTGTTGAATCCATTTGTTATATTTAAAAACATATTCTGCTTTTTTCAATTACATCAAGTACATTAAAGTCTTATTATTTATTCACACTCTTTAATCTTTTCAAAATTATACTTTAACATCACTGCAATTTTAAGTAACCCTACTTATTAAACATCACCTATAGAACTGAGACTTTCCAATTGTCCATATTTTCCAGATACTAGTAAGACACAGGATTGTTTTCAGAGTATCAGAGGACGTTGGAAGTGTCATCAAATTTTAAAAAATTGAATTCTAATTTTTCTGTGAGATTAAGTAAGAGAGTGCTGTACTCCTAAGGCAATTAACCCTTCAGGCCACCTAACATGGGAAAAATCATTAATGTATCCAAGAGGAGAGAAGGAATCATTAAATTCTGAGGATATTAATCTGGCCATATCATATATCATACAAAAGAGAGTCAAATATACAGAATTGTGGTCACAAAAATCCAGGAGAAAAAAGTCCATTATTAAAAATGTTATGTACAATATAAAATTATTCATCATAATCACAAAGGTATTTAGTTTCATTTCCCACTTTATCTTAATAAAATATTAACTGGTTTACTGGAAATTCATGATAAAACTATAAAAGTTAGAACATATACTTGAGTGAAACGAATTTCCAATTTCTCAAACATTAACAAAATAATTTTGTATACATTATTCAAATGAATATCAAATGTTTATAAATATAATTGCAAACATATGTGGGTAATTTTCTTCCATACTATCATTCATGATATGAGTTAGAAGAAGATATCATAATTTGCCACATAAATGTCCTATAGTTTCTTTAACCAGGCTGAAACCAAGTTTCATTTAAAAGCTTTCAAAAGCTTTGATATTTTTGGTAACTTTTTTATGCACCAAATGCACTGTGAGAAGCCTGGGTGTTTCCTCATGGTAATTAACATATAACATGGCACATGGATATTGCAAAATAAATATGTGTTAACTGGTAAATTTTGTTTTACAGCTTGATTATAAGAGTTTTAAAATAGTTCCATTGCTTACTTAATTCCTTGTGTAGTAAAGTATAATCAATTCTAATTAAATTTGTTATTCTAGAGATAAATTTCACCCACAAGAGGCATAGACACCAGAATGTAAAAGGTACTTTTTGTGTTTTGGGGGGTTTGTGGGGGGAGTAGAACATATTCTATCTCTTCCTTAGTTTTAAAATACTCCCGAGAATAATATTAATTGCTAATTTGTATTCCCCTTCATGAATTATAAAGAAAACTAATAGGTAACAAAGCTTTATAAAATAGATATTTGCTCACACAACATAAATAAAGCAATGATCAAACACAAAATAAATGTCTTGGTTACAAAGAATTCCAAATAGCACACACAAAAAAAGTTGACTGTGCAAAGTGAAGTATTGAGAGGAGAATAGAAAGAGAAAGATGGCTTTCAACCTGGTGAATTTAATCATGTTGTCCAAAAAAGCATAGGTGCCCAACATTGATGCATAATTTATTCTGGGAACAATAGGGAGCTTGAAGGATGGAAAGGAAGGAAACAGTCAAGAACACTAAAAATATTCTTTTTTTTTTTAAAGAGAGAGTGAGAGAGAGAGAGAGAATTTTTTTAATATTTATTTTTTAGTTATTGGCAGACACAACATCTTCGTTTGTATGTGGTGCTGAGGATCGAACCCGGGCTGCACGCATGCCAGGCGAGCGCGCTACCACTTGAGCCACATCCCCAGCCCCAAAAATATTCTTAAAAAATTTAGGAGATCTTTGATATCATGCTTGCATTCAATCTATTCACATTTACTTACAAATTAAAATGTATCTTTTTTCAGATAGAGGTTACTCTCACACAGACTGAATCAACCTGCAAAGTGGGCTCATGCTGGAAAAAAGAATCCTGTAATCAGAGAAATGATTTCTAATGCTCATTACAAATGACTCATTTATTTTTCTATTTTTTCCATTGCAGATAAAGTTCACCCTACCTAGTATATGCAGTACCTATCTAAGGGAAAAATGGCCTTGAATGACCAAATAGAAATAAAGCTGATGGGATCCAGCCTTCATTCATAGAATGTTAGAAGTTATCTAATCAAGTTCTGTATTCCACAGCTGGGAAAATTGAATTTTCATACAAGGGAAATAGCTTTGTCAGGGATGACAGCAGATGAATGGCTCTTGGTCTCATGAGTGTGGGCACAGGGCCCAATCTGCTCACATTTTATCACCATTTCAAATTACAATGCCTGTTACAAAGTGAGCATGAGGTATTCTGTAGATATTTTAGGTGAATTGCATGAATACATGACTGACAGAAGGAATGAATGTGACATTGTCAGACCTGGGCTAGTGATGAGTTTGCCAGCATCTGTGCAGTTTAAGATGATGATTTGTTGTGTAACAGTTCCTCAAAAAATATCATTTTTGAGCCATGTCAGTTAAAGAAACAATGGCCAGGTGCCAATGGAAGCAGGTATTGGGACATTTTGAAGTAACTTTAATTCTTTTTAACTTTTGTCATTTTGCAGTGGTATTGCTTATCAGTGGAGTCGAAGCTGTCTTAGAGATGTTTTGCCAAAGCCACCCTGCAACACTTGACTCTTTGAGCTGCCCTGGACATACTTTTACTCATATCCACAATACATCTTCAGCAGTGATGATGGGCAGACACTTGCTTTTACCCTATCTGTAGCAGTTTAAACAACCAAGAGGAAGTACTTGAAGCAAAAATAGGGCTCATTCTAAAGGCAGTTTTCAGAAATAAAGAAATGTACAAGAGGGAGAGAAATAAAGACCATACATATTTAAACTACTTGACAAGAGAACAAAAGGTGTTAAACAGGTCATGATAAGCAAAGTATATCTAGGTCTTGAAGAAATCTACAAAAGACTGGAAAACACCTTTTCAAGTACAGGGCAAAGAGAAGAAGTTGATAGCAGATCTTGATGTGCAAACTAGTCAAGTTCAGGTGGAGGAAGAGCATATGCCTCTCACATGGATTCTTGGAAGCTATTCCCTACAAATTTAAGTGGTAGTTGAGAGTAACATTTAAAGTGGCTAAAGATTGTCTGGACAATAGCTTCTGTGCTCCACATAGTCAGGTTCAAGTGCAAGAGAGGTCTTTGTAAACAGAGTTCCTGGCAGTGCTCTGTGATACAAGAGGGGTCACTAAGGCTGTTTAGGGACCCAGGTAAACTTCCAGCCTCCTTCTTCATCTCTACACACAAAGGCTTGTCCCTGGTGGAAAGAATGAGTTTTGACATTACAGTGAGGACTCAGGGATGTGGAAAATGCCATCTCTGTCTTGTTGGGTGACACATCAGCTGGATGATATGGAAGTGTTTGCACCTCTGTTGGGGGATTTGAAAGTTGAGAAAAGTAGTGGAAGTCTTCCTCATGGCTGGCAGTGCTGTGCAAGGGGGTTGTTCTTTCACCTCCATAGTTGATTGGCACATCCTCTCTGGGGACATTTTCATAATCAATGGCATCACTCGGAAAATGGGAGTATGTGCTAGTCACTCTTCTGGGATGAGAGGAGAGGGCACTGTAGTTAGCTGATGAGGTGTCATCAATGGTGTTGAGGTCTTTCAATCCAAGTGTTTGAAGCACCCAGGGATCAACATGGGGCCCAGGTGGTTTTTCACAGTTAGCAAACTCACTAAAGAGGTTTCTCTTGACATTTTTGGGATAGGGAATCTCAGCAGGAGAGTATCCCTGCTCTTTGTGTTTCCTCTTCCCCTTTCTGAATTTTCCACACACTTTGGAGAACTCATCTGATGACAACAATTTCTGAAGAAGTGACATTTGAAAATTATACTTCCTTTAAGTATCTACTAGTTACCCTCATTCTTTAGAAAAATAGGTTAAATTTCTAATATTTTTTCACATACAAGTAAAATGGATTAGATTAGTGTCTGTTACTAAAGTAAAATCCATGATAACATCTTATTTCTTAGGAACATGAATTCATTTCTTACTCTCAGTTTGAAACTTGAAAAAAGCAGATAATGTCTTGAAGATTTCAAATCAGGGAAGTAATAATTTTTACAATGATGACAATAAAAGCAATTGTTTATTGAATTATTACTGATAAAATAAACAAATTATCATTTGTTATAATTTATGAATAATTGATCACATGCACTATTTCTTTGGATATAGATACTCTTGAAAATCTCTATTAATGAGGAAATTAAGGCACAGACATATTTGTGACTTGCTAAGTATCCCTTAGCCTAGAATTAAACCTAAGTTATCTGAATATAGACAAAACTCTTGTTTAAACACTATACAACATTCTTTATGTTATTTCATTAACTTTCAAAGCAATCCCTTGAAAAAAGTTATTTTAAATCTTGGAGAACTGAGGTCAAGAAAGGTAAAGCTATTTAATGTCATTTAATAATTTAATAATGTCTTTTTCAAGGAATGTTAGCTGGAGTTAGAAGCCCAGGCTAGTCCTTTTTTTAAGAAAGCTTACTATACAGTAGTCAAATCTAATATCTTTTCTTCTCTGAACTGTTGGATTCAGTAAAGGCATCAGACACATAATCAATTTAGATTACAGAATATCAAATAATAGTTTGTCTAAGAGTAAAGTAGAAATTGGTCATAGAAACAATAATGATAACATAATGGCAAACACATACTAAAAAAGCATAAAACTAAAGAAAGAAAGAACACAAAGAAACTATAGGCAAGCTATCTTTGAGTTAGAAATAGCTCATTTAAAAGTGTAAGAAAAATGTGAATTAAAGATAATGTAATTGTATATACTGAATTGGTGCTCAAGATACTAGGCTCCAGTAATCATAGCATCTTAGATTGAGAGAGATTTTTTCACAGATTTTTAGTTTTTGTAGCTAAAGGTAACCAAATCCCTAATTGAGAATGATTTTCCTAAAGTCAGAAGATAATTAAAACAACTGAGTTTTTAAATCTCTGATTTCCACCTAACTCTCCTTTTGATCAACCTGTTTCCTCAGCAATCCCCTAGCTTTTGATATATAAGAAACTCCTTTTGTAATAATATCTGGAAAGAATCTGCAATCTAGATACTTCTAAGAAACAATACATAAAAGTTCTAGTGAAAGTCATGTACTTCCTTAAGAAATATTATCCATTCTGTTCACATATCCCACGACATGTTGTTGAGTACACTTCTTGCTTTTAATTAAGAAATTTTACATAAATTGTTTCCTTTCTTAAATCACTGTCCTGACCTTATAAAAAAGATTATTACACACCTTGGCCTTTTCTTCAAGACATTTAACCAAAGTAGAATTCAGGTATTGTCTGAGGTGATTATTCTCTTCATGTAGCCTAGCAAGTTCTTCTTCCTTCTGAACCAGAGTATCTTGGAGCTGCAAAAAGCAGACAATGGTGAAGGTTGCTCCACTGTATTGACTTTGTAACTTTATAATAATGCCACTGTGCCTCAGCCTTCTTAAACTTGATTATTCTTCTGTTTGTTTTATGAACACAATTTCAGGGAGTTCTCGTCCTCTGAGACTGAAATCAACAACCCCCTACCACCTGATTGTTCAGTTTTGTGCTCTGAATTTTTCATTCATTACAAAGTATTTGAGGGTATTATATGACTTTTAAAATTTTAACCACAAGGGAGTCAGGTAGGTGTAAAGGAAAATGAGCAGCATTCAACTGTTTAAATATAGAAAAAGGTGTTTAGAAACGTTTACCTGGACTCCTTCCTTGCACATCAAAAAAAAAAAAAAGAAAGAAAAAAAAAGATAGTTGACTTGTGCCACACTCTGATTGGTCTGTCTGTATGTTCAGTAGATCATATTACTTTTGGGGAACAAATAAGAATAACATATGGAAAATGAAACAATATCTGGAAAAAAACCTTTTTCATCATCATTAATTCTCCAAGCAATTATCTATGTTTATCATTTTAAAATACTGACATGATTCCATTTGGTCTTTCCATTAGCCCTCTGAGATATGCCGCATAAATATTCCAATTTCATGGATGAGGAAAAGGTGGACGTGATAGGTCACACAGCTAAAATGTGATATAGTCAGAGCCTGACTTCATGTCTTCCT